CTCACCTGCCCACTGTCCCGAGGAGCATATCTACATGCCCTCTGATGTGCGGGACCGTCTCCTCGCCTGGGCACACACAGCACCTGTGTCGGGGCACCCTGGTATAGCTCGTACTATCGTGCTGGTGGCCCACCTTGGCCTGGGACGTCCGGGTTTATGTCTCTTCCTGCTCCACCTGTGCACAGAGCAAGACACCGAGACACCTCCCCTATGGCAAACTCCACCCGCCGCCAGTTCCACAACGACCCTGGTCCCATCTCTCCGTGGACTTTGTCACAGAACTTACCTCCTCGGAGGGGCACACCATCGTCTTGGTCGTTGTGGACCGGTTTTCCAAAGCCTGTTGTTTGATTCCTCTGCCTGGTCTCCCTATGGCCATGCAGACCGCGGAGGCTCTCTTCTCTCACGTCTTCCGGCACTACGGGATCCCGGAGGACATCGTGTCTGACCATGGTCCTCAGTTCACCTCCCCTGTCTGGAAGGCCTTCATGGAACGACTGGGGGTAATGGTCAGCCTCACCTCCGGGTACCGTCCCCAATCAAATGGGCAGGTGGAAAGGGTAAATCAGGAACTGGGTAGGTACCTTCGTAGTTACTGCCAGGACTGGCCTGGGGAGTGGGCTGCGTTTCTGCCTTTGACAGAATACGCACAACACTCCCTCCGTCACTCCTCCACTGTTCTAGGCTACCAGCCAGCCCTGGCACCAGAGTCAGATCGAGGCTCCTGTGGTGGACGATTGGTTCCGGCGCACCGAGGATGTATGGAACACAGTGCACACCCCATCTCCAGCACGTCGTCTTCCAGCAGAAGGCACAGGCCAATAGTCACCACAGTGTGGCGCCACAGTGTGGGAGCCCCGGTGTTCTCCGTCCGCAGCCTGTTGGACTCAAGGCGTCGTGGGGGGTCTCTCCAGTACCTGGTTGACTGGGAGGGGTAAGGTCCCGAAGAGCAGTGCTGGGTTCGGCGGAGGACGTCCTGGACCATTGTCTCATTCGGGATTTCCACAGGCGTCATCCAGACCGACCCGCACCGTATCTCCGGGGTGGTCCCCAAGGTCGGCGGTGACGCGCTCTTGGAGCACACACCAGTACTGACACACCAGCCTTCACTTTGGCTCCCCCTCCTGTCCAGCTCAGGCGTTCGGTGTTGCCGGCCTTCTAGCTGCTGCCGAACCTGCTGCTGGCAAACGCCCTTCACTCATCAACCACCGGACTTGTCTCGTCATCATTACACACACCTGGTTCCAATCCCCTCTCAATCACTGTATACAGTTGAAGTCGGAAGTTTACATACACCTTAGCCAAATACATTTAAACTCTTTTCACAATTCCTGACATATAATCCTAGTAAAAATTCCCTGTCTTAGGTCAGTTAGGATCACCACTTTATTTTAAGAATGTGAAATGTCAGAATAATAGTAGAGAGAATGATTTATTTCAGCTTTTCTTTCTTTCATCACATTCCCAGTGAGTCAGAAGTTTACATACACTCAATTAATATTTGGTAGGCCGACCAGGTGACCGGGTCTGGCTCTCCACCTGGAACCTGCTGGCACACACTGGTTGAATTACATTGAACCAATGTGGAATAGACGTTGAAATAAATTACAAATAACAGAAAAAATGCATTTAGTTCACATTAAGAGGTGCAAAATAAATTTGGTCAATTATGCCTGTGTTTGCAGTTCTCCTCAGATAGGCGCAGTGGCGGCTGGCCGATAGAGGGCGCTAGGGCGCCGCCCCCTTAAATAAAATTATTTTACAAAATAAAAAAATAAAAAAATAAAAATAATAATAATAATAATAAAAACATCAGTATGTCAATATTTGTGTGTTTGAAATATGGAATGCACACAGTAATATGTGTAAGATATGATAGAAAATCATATTCGCAACCTTTCCTCTGCCTGTCAAACGCCTCGTCAGCTCTGGGCGATACAGAAAGTGCCCCGAGGAGGCGGGTCTACGTAGCAGTTAAGCCAATTGCTAATTTAAGATATGAATGTATGACATAAAATGTAGTCAATAAGCGATCTTAAATCGAATCCAAGGAGGGCGATTATTTTATCGCCCCAAGCTCGCCCCTGATAAAATAAGGACCGGGGTCCAGTGACGCCATTTTTACTAGACAACAATGGCGAACGCAAACGTTACTCCTCCAAGACCCAACCCTAACTCGGTGAAATCTCTCCTCCAAGATCCGTTTGAGAGGAGAACTTTGTCAGAGAAAGTTCGGGTGAAAGAGCTGGGCCCAGATCAACCTGACCTCTCAATCAGACAGCAGGCTAGCGAGAAAGGGAAGCAGTATATGCGCGGCTTCTCCCGTAGCTGGTACACCAGGAAGGCTTGGCTAGCTGGGTGCACTGATGCTAATGCTTTATTTTGCTTTCCGTGCTTGCTTTTTAAAACGACGGGGTCAGATTCAGCATGGACAGGTACCGGAGTGAGGGATATGAAGCACCTGTCAGAGAAGGTAAAGAAACATGAGAACACCAGGGCACACATGGACAACTCTGTAAAGCTAGCTGTATTAGGAAGGGTGAACATTGCTACGCAGCTGGATGACGGCCACAGGATTGCGGTGAGGAAACACAATGAGGAGGTGGATAAAAACAGGCACATTCTATCCAAAATTATCGATTGTGTGAAGTTCTGTGGGGCTTTTGAGTTGGCCTTGCGTGGGCACGAGGAGACTGACTCCTCAGACAACCCCGGCATTTTCCGGGGCTTAGTGGATTTTGTTGCCTCCCTCGACAGTGTGCTGGAGGAGCACCTGAAGACAGCTACCGTTTTTAAGGGCACGTCAAAGACGATACAGAACGAGCTGTTGGACTGTATGCTGTCAATGCTTAAGGATTACATCCTGGAGGAAGTAAAGAGTGCTGATTTTATCGCCATTCAAGCTGACGAGACGACTGACGTTTCCACCCACTGCCAGTTGGTGCTTGTGTGAGTGATTATCATAGAGCCGTCACAATTATATTTGTTTTAGTATTTTAAAAGGAAAGAGAAGACACAATCAGACGTTGATAATAATGCAGGAAAGTACTACACAGTTTGTAATAATTATTCAGGTGTCCACCAGGTCAATTTCTAGAAGAGGCCTAGTTGTTATTGAATATTAACTTTATTGCTAAGTGAACAGCAGAACAAAATGATGTTGCATCCCTCTCACAAATGTAATAGAAAAAGGCTTTAAAACGTAATAACATCAGTTAATTATGTACATCACAGGTTAAAAGCAGTTACTAGACATAGTTTGTGTGTATATACACACTGTCTGTCTGTCTGTCTGTCTGTCTGTCTGTCTATATATATATATATATATATATATATATATATATATATATATATATATATATATATATATATATATATATATATATAAAAGTCACTGGTTGTGTGTTGAGGGGGAATTACAGTGAGTTAAGAAGTCTGATTGCAAGTTATCAAATTAAACTTTATTTTTTGGACCCAGGGCCTCAATTCCCTCTTTGTGTGGGCACAGCGTATCTGACGAGCAGCAACAGCCCATCAAGCGACGGAGGATGCTGGGACCAGGAGAACAACAGAGGTTGGCTATAGAGGTAAGTTGTGATGTAATTGTCAGTGTTTCCCACCTAGAACTTTTTTCAGGCCTGGTAGTATGTAGCCAAAACCCTGAACAATCAGCACCTTGGTAATCATATACTTGAGTTGGACATAGGCATGTGTCAGTCAGGATCACTTGCATCAAAATAGCTTAATTGCAAATTAAAGCTGATGATGTATCTTTTACAGGTATGTGATACCATCCTGAGTCATGCCAAAGAGAGGTTCTCCTTCACCCAGCACCTCATCAGCGCAACACTATTGCACGGAGAGTTGTTCCCACAACACAGTGTGAAGTTCCCCGATACAGCGCTTGAAACAACCGTGGAGGCGTACCCCATGTTGAACAAGGCCAAGCTCAAAACCGAACTGTCCCTCATCTATGAGAACAGTGAGTTCAAGGCTTGTAGTGGTGCAGTGCCCCTGTACCAGTTCTTCATGGAGAACAACCTTCAGAGCACTTTCACAGAGACTGCCAGCCTCCTCAAGATCCTCATCACCACACCCATGACAACTGCTGAGTCAGAATGGTGCTTCTCTACACTGAAAAGGATCAAGACCTTCCTGAGAAACAGCATGACACAGGATCGCCTGAACGCTCTGGCCATGCTCTCCATGGAGAAGAAACTTGTCAGGGACATTCCTGACTTTAAGCAAAGGGTCATTGAGAGGTTTGCCACTCAGAAGGACAGACGGGCAAAATTCCTGTACAAATAAGATGACAGACACACACACACAGAGCAGCTCTGGCCGCATGTTTCTTTGTATATAGTTGACCTTAGCATAAAAAATCCAGTTATATATGGTACTCTAGAAAGTCTTAATAGTGTCTTTGCTAATATTACTGTATATAGGTTGTTTTGTATCAATTAATTGTTGCAGTTCTGGAGCACATTAACAATTAGTCACATTTAGTATGATCATAAAATACTGTATGCTATTCTTCCAGTCAAAGGTTTGAGTTCATCCACTTGATATCCATTTCTATATTATACATCCTTTTATACAGTGTAAGATTTCCTATAAACTTTATAATAATTTCATGTTATTGTCCACTTTCCACTCTGTTCTGACAGCATGCCTGTTGCGTTGCCTGTTTACTACCAATGGTGAAAAGTTCACTTTAAATGCAAATGAAAGGCTTGGGTTTGTGTAATATGTTTTTGTGTAAGAATGCCTCAACTTTTTAATATTGGCATTAAATAATTACTGAATGTTTCACTGAGCACTGCTGTCCTGCAGTTTGTGTTAAAATATATCGCGATGGTTACAGGAAAAAAAAAGTATGGCACAGCCCCACCGAGAATATTTTTCACCAGCCGCCACTGGATAGGCGTGGTATTTCGGCCGTCCTCTGTGCTAGGAGTTGGGGGGTGATCGCTGCCGCCAGTTGTGTGAACTTCCTCACCCAATGCATTTTCAATCCTAGACAGTATGAAGTTTTGAAATGTCTTCTTTTGGCCACTACCCATGAGGACATACAGCAAAGGGTTAAATGAGCTCTTAGAAAGGCAAAGAACCAGTTCAGAATAGTTTTTACATCTTAGTCACCCGTCATCATAATTCTGAAAGGCAGCCAGCTGGCAAAGTACAATACAATCACAGCTGTCATGACTTTGAGTGGCATGTTGAACATGTTCCTTCGGTGAGCCCAGATTAGAAGGCAGTAGCAGAATATAATAATGAGAAAGAGGATCACATAGGTATAGACAAACTGACCTGATATAGGGACACGTTCAGTTGCAATTTTAGCATGTAAATCTTGGTGGGGCAAACTCCCCCAAAATGTTTTCGATGTATGCCAGCAAAGCCACTACACAACACAACACTAAACAATACATTCATTGCACTATAACAGTGACAAACGGTGCCCACAAACTGTTAGGGCTTACCTAAAGCTGTCCCAACAGCAGAGCTTCATTCAACCTCATTTACTGCCTTCTAAAAAAACATAGCTGATATAGCTAACTTGCTTAAACAAATGTGGTTTCTACGGACAATTGAGATGTACAAACTATGGTATAAGGGGACGACGAGCAGATAACAGGCAATCCATAATTTCAATTAAGACATTAATGAGCGAGCTAGGACGGACATAGTTAATATAACTATTTGTTCAGCACTTTTGAAATGTACAGCGACATAATTCAGAACATGGGACTTTCTTACAGTATTCTTCCTGTACACCAAGTCAGAACCTTAGGATAAGGAAAGGGGGCATATAAGCAGACAATGAAAGCTCTTACAATATTCAATGATTACATTTCTCTAAAACAGGCTATAGGCTACATGTGCACCAACAAGTCAGAACGGTAGGCTAAATTATGAGGGGGAAAGGGACCAAATTATTAGGGTGAGACACATGGGCTACTAACAGCTTACTACACAACATGCACTTAGCATTACTTTCTTAGCTACAGTAGACATATCTCCCTGGCATATTACATAATTTATGCAGCAGCATACAATACATTTTTGTACTCACCTTGTTGTGCTGTGCTCACTTGAAAAGGAAGGTGGCGCGGCGGTCCTTCATGGCCAAATTTTGTCATCAGACTTTGTCTGGCATTCTCTGGATTTATGGTGCTTTCAAGACAACTGGAAACTGTGAAAAAAACAAGGTTGAATCATGACGTCAGTGATCTTCAGGTCGGAGCTCTAGAAAGAGGCCCGAGTTCCCGAATCCTGACTTGGAATTCCGAGTTGGATGACCTTTCAAAACGTATTTTCCAGTTGTCTTGAACTCACTGAAGTCTGAGATTTCCCAGTTCCGAGTTTCCATTTGTTTTGAACGCGGCAGAAGTCATGCTGGATTGACAGCATGGCCAATGTATTCAACCTTTTATGGCCCATGGTGTTGAATTTCTATCCTTTTAAGCTAGGAAAAGAGAGCCTTAAACCCAGACTTGGACCACACACCCACTCCACTGAATAGCAGGCTAGTGATTGCTTTGCAATGTTTGCAGTTAGCCGTTGATTTCTTCCAAACCACTCATTGTTGAATTTGCGATTTCCAACTTGTTGTGTAATGTTTACATACAATGGCCGATGAGCACCGATACGTTTTATCTATAATTTCTCTTCATAATTTCTCTTCATACAGTGAGGGAAAAGTATTTGATCCCCTGCTGATTTTGTACGTTTGCCCACTGACAAAGAAATGATCAGTCTATAATTTTAATGGTAGGTTTATTTGAACAGTGAGAGACAGAATAACAACAACAAAATCCAGAAAAACGCATGTCATAAATTTTATAAATTAATTAGCATTTTAATGAGGGAAATAAGTGTTTGACCCCCTCTCAATCAGAAAGATTTCTGGCTCCCAGGTGTCTTTTATACAGGTAGCGAGCTGAGATTAGGAGCACACCCTTAAAGGGAGTCATTCAGATTCCAAACTCTCAACATGGCCAAGACCAAAGAGCTCTCCAAGGATGTCAGGGACAAGATTGTAGACCTACACAAGGCTGGAATAGGCTACAAGACCATCGCCAAGCAGCTTGGTGAGAAGGTGACAACAGTTGGTGCGATTATTCGCAAATGGAAGAAACACAAAATAACTGTCAATCTCCCTCGGCCTGGGGCTCCATGCAAGATCTCACCTCGTGGAGTTGCAATGATCATGAGAACGGTGAGGAATCAGCCCAGAACTACACGGGAGGATCTTGTCAATGATCTCAAGGCAGCTGGGACCATAGTCACCAAGAAAACAATTGGTAACACACTATGCCGCGAAGGACTGAAATCCTGCTGTGCCCGCAAGGTCCCGATGCTCAAGAAAGCACATATACAGGGCCGTCTGAAGTTTGCCAATGAACATCTGAATGATTCAGAGGAGAACAGGGTGAAAGTGTTGTGGTCAGATTAGACCAAAATAGAGCTCTTTGGCATCAACTCAACTCGCCGTGTTTGGAGGAGGAGGAATGCTGCCTATGACCCCAAGAACACCATCCCCACCGTCAAACATGGAGGTGGAAACATTATATTTTGGGGGTGTTTTTCTGCTAAGGGGACAGGACAACTTCACCGCATCAAAGGGACGATGGACGGGGCCATGTACCGTCAAATCTTGGGTGAGAACCTCCTTCCCTCAGCCAGGGCATTGAAAATGGGTTGTGGATGGGTATTCCAGCATGACAATGACCCAAAACACACGGCCAAGGCAACAAAGGAGTGGCACAAGAAGAAGCACATTAAGGTCCTGGAGTGGCCTAGCCAGTCTCCAGACCTTAATCCCATAGAAAATCTGTGGAGGGAGCTGAAGGTTCGAGTTGCCAAACATCAGCCTCGAAACCTTAATGACTTGGAGAAGATCTGCAAAGAGGAGTGGGACAAAATCCCTCCTGAGATGTGTGCAAACCTGGTGGCCAACTACAAGAAACGTCTGACCTCTGTGATTGCCAACAAGGGTTTTGCCACCAAGTACTAAGTCATGTTTTGCAGAGGGGTTAAATACTTATTTCCCTCATTAAAATGCAAATCAATTTATAACATTTTTGACATGCGTTTTTCTGGATTTCTTTGTTGTTATTCTGTCTCTCACTGTTCAAATTAACCTACTGTCAGGGTTGAGTGTAGAGGTAACGTGGAATCACACGCAGGACACACAGAGGTTCGAAACAGATGTCTTTAGTGAAGTCCAAGAAAACAAGCCAACCACAGCAACAGGCCACAGGCGAACAATACGCACACTGGTAAGTACCAAAAATAACAGCGCACAACGTGCGGGACTCTCTCTAACAAAAACGAATACAGAGAGAACAGAACAACGAACTAATACAACACGTGACATCGAACAATTACACACAACACCTGACCAAACACAAGAGAACTAAATAGGACGCATAATGAACACTAACAAGGAACAGGTGTAACAAACAGACAAAACCAATCAAACATAGAAACATAGAACGGTGGCAGCTAGTACTCCGGAGACGACGACCGCCGAAGCCTGCCCGAACAAGGAGAAGGAGCAGCCTCGGCCGAAACCGTGACACCTACCATTAAAATTATAGACTGATCATGTCTTTTTCAGTGGGCAAACGTACAAAATCAGCAGGGGATCAAATACTTTTTTCCCTCACTGTATGACAAGGATTGAAAAGGGTTTGCCATTAGATTGTCGACTTGATTCATGATGATGACTGCTAGCTTGCTAGCTAAGATTTTGAAAGGATGATGTTGACATGATCAGTCCCTTCAAAGCTACGGTAGATATAATGTGATTTGATGTAATTTTATCTGTGGCCAATGACCTTGAGCCTTCTTGGATGGGCACTTCTAATGTAACTCTATAGCAGCACCCAAGGGGCTCTAATTTACGAACTCTACCCGTAGATTTTATGTTGACTTAGTGTCCCCATGAGTGACAGAACACTGAGCCAATTACGGTGCAACTAGATAACATAACCAACCCCTACGCTCTGTATTTTCCGCTGGCTGCCCCACCACCACAGAAAGCACTGAGCTAGGCTGAAACACCTGCATTTTGGAGATGCCTTACTCAAGAAAGCAAAAAAGGGACCATGTTTGTATGCGGCTTTATTAACTCAATTATTATTTTTTTTTACATTGTTTGCCAAAATAACATGCAAAAAAACATGCCCCACCTGCCCTGAATGACGGGTCGCCACTGGATACGTTTGTGACACAAAATTAATCCTGGGGGAAATCTAATATCCGAGAATATAGGCAGCATACTAATGACAGCAGAGATGACCCAGGCAAAAAATGACCACTGCTGGGTGCGATGATTCTGAGTCCACATAGGAATCATGATGGACAAACAGTGGTCAACACTGATGATGACCAAGAGAAAGATGGTGCTAAACAGGTAGAGGGGGCCGATAAAATAAGCACATTTGCACATGCCATCAGACCAAGCAGACCCAATACGGAGTGAGCTAAAAGTATTATCTGAAAGTATAATTTCAAATAAAAGAAAGCGAGTGAAGTCAGAAATAGCCAGACTGTGCACACTGAATCTGACTGACCGTCGTGCTGATTTGTGTCACAAACAAACATTTTGGAAGCTGATTCACTGATTCTCTTCCATAACTCTGCCCCATAGTTACTGTTGCTACGATCAGTCAACTCGTGCAAGCAGTGTAAAAGGGGGGCAAGGTGCTGCAAACTACAGCACAAGCTAACAAGCTAGCAGCTAATTCCGTGGCTATATACATTATGCAGCTAGCTAACTAGCTAGCAACTCGTTTGCTACTGTACAAAATGGTAGATTGACGAGTTGATTGTATCCTCTGACCTAATAGCACCTTGCTCTGTTAGTTACCAGGCAAATAAGCTACAGTAGCTAGCAAGTTGTGTGGTCATTTAGATAGCTGCAGTGTAACATAACCAAACAAAGCCATTTACAACCTTCTCTAAACATATCAATGGCTATGCATATATGGCAAGTATCAAGTTATGTGTGTTTGTCAACATTTTAAGGGATGAGTAGATGGACATAACCTACTGCAAACATTCTGGTCGAACACATTAAAATACTTTTTTGGGGGGTGCACACAGTGACTGTGTGTGTGGGAGAGAGGGAGAAGGACCCCTTAGGCCTTTACAGTCTTTGAGCTCTTCCTTTTCAAATACTGCTTGTTGTCATCTCTTCCAGTGTGCATCATCAGGGTATCAGGAGATAGGAAGCCAACCTGCCTGCTCTGCCCCTCCAGCACTGTGACACCATATTGTCGGAAAAAGTAAAGTTGTTGCTTGACTCAATACTGTCAAAGTTGCTAGCCATCGGTATAGCTATACTGCATATTGTCGACTGGAAATTGAGAGGCATAATGGCCGTTAACAGTGTTTAATTAGTTCATTGATTTGTCATGCCCATGCCATAGCAATCAGTCGGCACAATTAAACAAATGATTTTATTAGTGACCTGTGATAGAGACATTGTCCTACATGTAACACAGTTATTCTTGCCCTTAGAATCACTTGTGTTCAAGAAACATGTTACAATTTACACAAAGTGTTCAACTAGGTTTCCTTGATTATGGTTTCAAACATACGATTGGCAGATCTTCACTGAAGAGCAATAAAAAAAAATCATTTTAATTCTATTTGCAGTGAACATGTGACTAGTTTCTGGTAACAAAGTGGCATTGTAAATTTGACTGAACACAGTTTAGCAACAATGGATAGGTCTACCCTCTTCTTCCTCATCATTACAGTTAGAAACATCAGTAGTAGTATTGGGGACAAATGTTTGATGGTGGGCAGCTTGGTCAGCAGCATCTGGAAGACAGGAGGGGGCAGCGTCTGCTGGAGAAGCTGCTAGGGTTGTCTGCACACAGCAATGCCGTTGGTCAGCTGAACAACTACCTTCTCATAGTTTCCTGAGTGTTGGAACACAAATAGATTAGTTGAAAGGCACACTGTCAGGTATGGAGCAAATGAACATGTGTAGAAAAGGCTTTTCTTCCAAAAATAACTTTTGTAGCTTTAAAATATCACAACAGGAAAATTAGACTGAATCAGACAAATTCCAGTCCATATCATAGAACAGCCCCCTTTCAGTCTCTGGCACTGTCCCCACTGTTGACAATTGACAATATTTACTGGTATGTAAACAAAAGCTTGACTTGCAACAAACAAAATGTCACATACAATAACTCAGTATTCAACATAAGAGTAGTCCATATATTGTAATATTCAGTATGCCTTCAGTACAGGACTGGGCATAGAGGTGGTTGAGATAGCACACGAGGGCTACGTCCCAATTTCCCAATTCTCCACCCTTCTCCCTAAGTGTGTACTTTCAAACTCCTCGTCATGAATTTAAAAGCATAGGATTGGTTTAAGCATTGGAAGGAGGGAGTTTCCCTTGCTAAATCCATGCAAAAAGTATACAGTGCCTTCAGAAAGTTTTCACACCCATTTACTTATTTTTTATTTTAACCTTCTTTTTCTCCCCAATTTCGTGATTACGTTCTTGTCTCATCGCTGCAACTCCCCAACGGGATCGGGAGAGGCGAAGGTCGAGTCATGCGTCCTCCGAAACATGACCCGCCAAGCCGCGCTTTTTAACACCCACTCACTTAACCCGGAAGCTAGCTGCACCAATGTGTTTGAGGAAACACTGTTCAACTGACGACTGAAGTCAGCCTGCAGGCGCCCGGCCCGCCACAAGGAGTCACTAGAGCGCGATGAGCCAAGTAAAGTCCCCCCTAACCCGGAAGAAGCTGGGCCAATTGTGCACCGCCATATGGGACTCCCGGTCACAGCCAGTTGTGACACACTGGGATTGAACCCCAGGCTGTAGTGAGGCCACAACACTGCGATGCAGTGCCTTAGACTGCTGCGCTACTTTTAAACATTTTGTTGTGCTACAGCCTGAATTTTAAATGGATTCAGTTTAGATTTTGTGTCACTGGCCTACACACAATAACCCATAATGTCAAAGTGGAATTTTGTTTTTAGAAATGTTGACAAATAAATTAAAAATGATACACTGACATATCTTGAGTCAATACAGTGGAGGCTCCTCAGAGAAGGAAGGGGAGGACCATCCTACTCAGTGAATGTTTATTGAAATATTGAAAAGGTTATCCTTTTTAGATAAAACTATACTAAATATATTCACGTCACAAAATAACTGATAAAAACACACTGTTTTGCAATGAAGGTCTACACTAGCCTCAACAGCACTCTGTAGGGTAGCACCATGGTGTAGCCGGAGGACAGCTATTTTCTGTCCTCTTCTGGGTACATTGACTTCAATACAAAACCTAGGAGGCTCATGGTTCTCACCCCTTTCCATAGACTTACAAAGTAATTATGACGACTTCTGGAGGACATTCTCCAACCTATAAGAGCTCTTGCAGTATGAACTGATATGTTGTCCATCCAATCAAAGGATCAGAGAATGAATCTAGTACTGAAAGCATAAGCTACAGCTAGCTATCACTGCAGTGCATAAAATGTGGTGAGTAGTTGACTCAAACAGAGAATAAAAACAATAGTTGAACAGTTTTGAACAAAGCAGCAAAGAAAGAGAGATTTCATTGTATTTTTTATTCCAGTTTCAGTTACGCTAGCTAATGCAGCTAATTTAACCTACTCAACAACCTGACTCAAACAGAGAGGGATGATATTTATGTTAGCTAGCTGGCTAAGGCTATCCAACACTCCAACACTTCCAAGTCAAGGTAATCTTTTGGTTTGATTAATTTATTGTCAACAGGGCCCGCCGGTGTAACTGGTAAACTGCTTGCTGTACACTACTGCGGGATTGTACACATGGATTGGATTGGTTTTCTAATGCGTTAGTTCTAGTAGCTATGTTGACTATGACATTAGCTAATATGGTGACAATAATTTTTTTTAACACTTATTTTTCTAAAAACTGCATTGTTGGTTAAGGGCTTGTAAGTAAGCATTTCACTGTAAGGTCTACACCTGTTGTAGTCAAATACAAATTGATTTGATTATAAACTTTCATTTGCAGGCTAGGTAGAGCAACCTCATGATGGGTATAGGATACATTTGCGTATCATGTTGTAGCCTAAACCTATCGATGTTACATTGAGCTGGGTGAATGGAATATGAATGACAGACAGTCATCCAATATGCTGTAATATAAATAAGTTCATGCTCATAAAAAAATGAAACTGTCCTCCCCAATCTTAAAACGGCACCGACCACCACTGGTACTCAACCCCTTGTTATGGCAAGCCTAAATAAGTTCAGGAGTAAAAATATTCTTAACAAGTCACATAATAAGTTGCATGGACTCATTCTGTGTGCAATAATACTGTTTAACATGATTCTTTAATGACTACCTCATCTCTGTACCCCACACATACAATTATCTGTAAGGTCTCTCAGTCGAGCAGTGAATTTCAATCACAGATTCAACCACAAAGATCAGGGAGGTTTTCCAATGCCTCGCAAATGGTACCTAGTGGTAGATGAGTAAAAAAATAAAAAATAAACATTAAATATTCCTTTGAATATGGTGAAGTTATTAATTACACTTTGGATGGTGTATCAATATACCCAGTCACTACAAAGATACGGGCGTCCTTCCTAACTCAGTTGCCAGAGAGGAAGGAAACTGCTCAGGGATTTCACCATGAGGCCAATGGTGACTTTAAAACAGTTACAGAGTTTAATGGCTGTGATAGGAGAAAACTGAGGATGGATCAATAACATTGTAGTTACTTCATAATATTAACCTAAATGGCAGAGTGAAAAGAAGGAAGCCTGTACAATTAATTTTATTCCAAAGCATACATCCTGTTTACAATAAGGCACTAAAGTAAAACTGCAAAAAATTTGGCAAATAAATGTACTTTATGTCCTGAATACTAAGCGTTATGTTTGGGGCAAATCCAACACAACACATCACTGAGTACCACTCTTCATATTTTCAAGCATGGTGGTGGCAGCTTTATGTTATGGTTATACTTGTCAACAGCAAGGACTAATGAGTTTTTAAAAATAGACGGAATAGAGCTAAGCACAGGCAAAATTATAGAGGAAAACCTAGTTTAGTCTGCTTTCCACCAGACAATATGTTGAATGGCCTAGTTACAGTTTTGCCTTAAATCTATGGCAAGACTAGCTGTCTAGCGATGATAAAAAACCAACTTGACAGAGCTTGAAGAATCTTTAAAATAATAATGTGCAAATATTGTACAATTCAGGTGTGCAAAGCTCTTACAGTGGGGAAAAAAAGTATTTAGTCAGCCACCAATTGTGCAAGTTCTCCCACTTAAAAAGATGAGAGAGGCCTGTAATTTTCATCATAGGTACACGTCAACTATGACAGACAAATTGAGAAAAAAAATCCAGAAAATCACATTGTAGGATGTTTAATGAATTTATTTGCTAATTATGGTGGAAAATAAGTATTTGGTCACCTACAAACAAGCAAGATTTCTGGCTCTCACAGACCTGTAACTTCTTCTTTAAGAGGCTCCTCTGTCCTCCACTCGTTACCGGTATTAATGGCACCTGTTTGAACTTGTTATCAGTATAAAATACACCTGTCCACAGCCTCAAACAGT